TTCATATGTAGCCAGCTAATCAAATCTGCACCAAAAAACAAGTTGTAAAAAACAGGGTCAAGTAATTCCAGCCAAACTCCTTTAATTTTGTTGCAATCCCTAGCCATATGCAAAATGGATTCATCCTCCTGTTGACAAAGAAGGTAGATTGAGTTTGACAAACCCAACCGAGCTAGCATACTCCTAGTTGGCAACCGATTATGAGCAAGCTTCCACAGAAGAACACAAATTCTATTAGGAATTTTTAGACTCCAAATAGCAGACCAGATGCCATTATCATTATCATCCTCGTCATTCTGGTTGTTAAGGGCACTATACATATTCTTTACAGTAATCCCATGTGATCCTTTAATATTCCACCTGAGTGTATCAGTCCCACCTTCATCTTGAGGAGGTAACACACTCCTAATATCCTGAATTATATTATTAGGAAGAAGATTGGAAAGAGGCCCTCAATTCCACATTCCCTCCTCTGTCACAAACCACCTAACCTTTCTACCCATCTCAGTTTGTGGAATAGTCATCAAAGCCTTCCCTGCTAGGTTATACTCGTGATCTAGCCACTTATCGTTCCAAAAATCAATTGATCGACCATCACCCACTTCCCAAATCAGTCTCGGTTTCAATTTAAGCCACACTTCACACATAGCTTTCCATAAATGAGAATGACCAGATCTCCAACATAAAGCTTCAGGAGGATTCTGTGCTTTACTATATTTAGCTTTCAACACTTTAACCCAAAGCTTATCATGGTCATTGAGAAAATTCCAAACAATCTTCCCAAGAAAAGCTTCATTCATTACATTAAGATTCCTAATCCCTAGACCACCTTGGTTTTTCGGCCTGGATATAACATCCCAGCTAATAAGGTGCATACGTTTCCTATCAACTGAGTCTCCCCAGATGAAGGATCTCTGCAGCTTCTCCAACTCATTAAAAATACTTCTCGGAATCATAGTATACTGCATGTGATAGTAAGGCAAAGCAGATAGCACAGATTGAGATAGCACAATTCTACCTGCTTGAGAAAGAGTTTTAGATTGCCAACTATTCAATCTCTCCTTAGCTCTATCTATAACTCCTGCAAAAGAATTTTTAGAAACCCTTTCTTGCTGAATCAAAGGCCCCAGATACCTGCCAATGTTAGCTACTTTTTTAAAACCACTCACTTCAACAATTTTATCAGCAATCTGGTCAAGGGTATTTTTAGAGAAGAATATACTCGTTTTCTGTTGACTAATTTTTTGACCAGAAATTTCACATAAAAGATTCAAACAGCGAAGAAGGATATGGATTTGATCTTCACTCGCTTCCAAGAACAGCATCAAGTCATCAACAAATAATAAATGAGAAATTTCAGGCCCATCCTTACCTGCTTTAATTGGCTTCCACAACTTACCCTCTACAGCAGTTTGAATAATATAGGAGAGCTTCTCCATAGCTAACACAAACAAGTAAGGGGATATAGGATCACCCTGTCTTACCCCTCTGCTAGGCTGAAATTCATCAGACACATTTCCATTCCATAAGATACTAGTCTTAGGAGAGGTAACCACAATCATAATTAATTCTGTAAGATGAGCAGGGATTTGAATTTCCATTAAGACCTTTTTAATAAAATTCCAATTGATACGGTCATAAGCTTTTTCCAAATCCACCTTGATCGCCATGAAGCATTTCTTGCCTCTCATTTTCTTCATTGAATGAACCAGCTGTTGAACCACAATAATATTATCCTGTACGTGACGATGAGGGACAAAACTGGACTGAGCAGGATAGACCACTTTATCCATTATTATTTTAAGCCTATTAACAATCAGCTTACTAACAATTTTGTACACCACAGAGCATAATGAGATCGGCCTGAACTGACTGATGTGGGTCAAATTCTGAACCTTGGGTATGAGCACCAGCAATGTAGAATTAATCGAGGCCAAGACATCAGGATAATCCCACATCTAAAGAACCATGGAACACATTTGATCTTTTAAATAGTTCCAGTTTCTCTGAAAAAACATAGCTGGATAGCCATCTGACCCTGGTGCTTTAAACGCACCAATATTGAACAGAGCCTGCTTAATTTCAAGCTCATTAGGATACCTGTCAAGACACTCCATGTCATTCACAGAAAGAGTAGGCCACAATTAGCCGAGGAGATCCATCTTCTATCAGGGATATCTTTAGTAAACAGCCCCTTGAAAAAATTAAAGGCTAACTCCTTAAGCTCAGAAGCATTTGTTATTCATGCATCACCCCAACTCTTCAATCTAAAAATTTTATTAGCATTTCTCCTCACAACAGTACCCATCGCCTCCCTTACTTTTCTTTATACTCCGCTTCAAATTGTCCTCCTCCTCAGCTGATCGGCAGTGGCCGACGTTCGACGACGACATAAGCAATCCCTAACCCTAGCAGATGTATTTTTCTTAGTAGATGACTTTTTTGGTGTTTCTGAATTTTGACAACCCTAGCAGATGTATTCTCATCTAATTTACTTCTCTGTAACATTTCCACAAGTAAGGTTGTATGTACTTTTTAAGCGGGCGGACTTATTTTGGCTGTTCTAAAATTAAATAGATATCCTTGTAGTGGACAAATTGCACATCTTAATTTGATTATGTATGTACCGTCTATAGTTTTTTCACCCTGGGTTATTATGGTTACATGACTATGGTGGTGGATCCAAGATTTTTTATATAATAAGGGACAAAAATAAAATTTTAAAAGTATAAATATTATTAAAATTTATAAAAGATATTAATTATAATAAATATTTTTTTTAGGAAGAGATTAACTATTAATACTAATAATTTATTATTATTTAAAAAAGTATCATTTTACACCTAAAATACTAAAAGAAAATTAAAATTAAGGGAGAACAAACTGCCAATGCGACACTCCCTGAGTACCACCGACCACCCAGCAGTTCTACGGTGTTGACCAAAACGAATTATCTAAATTGCGGTTGAAAATGGGTGACATGAGCGAAACGTAACGTACATGTATTGTTCAATGTTTTTTTTTTTTTTTTTTTTTGGTGTGTGTGGAGAATATATATTGTTCAATGCTCGTCTCTCCAGTCTCACTTCGATGAGCATGCTAAACCACTCATTCAATGACAATTTCACTCATCCAAAAGATATATATTTTCAGTAATAAATAATTTTTAAAATTTTAACACAAATCAACGTAATACCATTCAATTAAATAAATATTTAAAATTAGTACTTTTAGAATTCTAATTATACGAATAAGTAAGAAAAATTACAGATAAGTGACCCTAATAATAATATGCATGCAACCGACATAAAAATGGAGTTAGGGTAATAGTTTACTAATGTAAATTATATTTTACATGATATAACACCACTGACAGCTAATTAACATAATCTGAATTTATACCCTAGTCATTTGTATGCTAAGCAAAAATATCATTGTAACATTTCATTATTACTATTGTTAGTTACCAAATTTTTTTTTTCTTATATGGCCACTATGTTTGGAACATCTATCATTTTCCTTCTTGTGTAGTCACCCTACTATCTATTTAAAGTGAATTGGATGATGAAAATATTTTTCATTTTGAAACTCAAATTATCAAAGAATTTGAAAAAATTTTAAAGGAATTAAACATACGGAGACACCTATGAAAGATGAGAGCACTTTCAATACGATGGAAGTACAGACCATTGGATGCAACAAGAAATTTGACACAATGTATTTTTGAAAATATATAGTGTAAAATATTGAAGTTATTTTTTTTCTCTCTTCAGAAAAAATATAATTTGATATGATACACTCCCACTAATCAGCTGTATCTAGAATTGCATTACCATAAAATTTTCCATGATAGAGGTAGCCACCATAGTGAATGAAGTAATGCGGTATCATGAGCAAGCTTTTTGCATGATTTCTTAAAATTAATTAAAAGAACACGTCGTGTTATATTTGGACTATGGAGTCACTATCTCATACAAAATTTTACAAATAATTTTCGCACTAATTAACATTTTTTCTATGCATAGTAAAAGAAGTGAAGTGAGTAAAACAACATAAGATTTTTTTTTTTTTCAAAACAAAAAATATTTCACAATCCTTTAAAGTGGAAATATTCAGGATTGTGATAGACACCTATTTTGCCCTTAAGTTTATGGAAAATAATAGTTTCATGTTGCATAAGAGAGTTATCTTATATTATACACTCATAGAATTTCGTGTCAATTTTTTTTCTATTTATATCACTGATATGAGAGTATTATCTCATGTAACATGAGATTAATAAACCCCTAAATTTATTAATGTTTTTATAAAGATGATTTGTTTATCCCTTTTCACTTAAAAAAACCAACAAATCTCTTTTTAAGTGTTGACAAAGAAGAAACGCAGATTTGCTAATAAGACGCTCCCCACCAAAAAAGGAAAACATAAAAAATGAGAAAGAGCCAACGAAGACCTACAATATTTTTATTTATTTATTAATTCATAAATAGTAGATTAAGAGGAGGAGGACTTTTGTTTGACTGATTTAATTTGCAGGGAAGTTTTACATCATTATTACAAAGTTAATAAAACAATAAATCTCACCTAATTTTTATTTTTTAAAATAAATAAAATATTAAACTTATACGATAATGACAGGGATAGGCCCACCACGAACTTGTGTTTCCCTGAAGGCGCGTTTTTGCTTTGCGTTCCAGTCCAAAAGGTAATGAAACGACTCCCCTATTGTCGTTTTGTATCCTTTTTCGCTTACGCGCCTACACGTTGCGTGCACTGTGATGATCAACGTAACAAAAAAAAACTGAATGCATCACTGTATCACTATCAACCACACTCCACCAGCATTAAAGTCTCTCAACTCCCTCCCTCTCTCTCTCTCACATCCTTTCTTCCTCTCTCTCACACACTCACACACTCACTCTCTACGTTTCAACACAGACATCTCTCTCTCTCTCTTTCTCTCTCTCTCTTTATCTATCTGTCTCTCTGTCTCTGTAGGTTCTTATACATGCATATCGGTTTTGTTGCGTAGATCTTCAACCGCGTTTCATGGATCCAGAAACCGATCCACCTGCATTGCCTTCTTCTCATTCTCTCTCCTAGGGTTTCAACTCAAATGCTTCGTTCTTCTTCGCTCTCGCCGCCGATTTTGAGCTATGCGTTCTCTTCCTCCCAGCTCGGTCTGCTGCCGTCCACGCCATGATCGCCGACGGCTGCTTTGCCGGAATTTTAAGAGCTGCCGGTCACTCTGCGGCGAGGTTTCATAGCTTTAAGCTGCTCCCTTCCTCTGACGATGCTCTTCGCCAGTTTTGTGTTCGGCGAGAGAGAATGCCGGCGTCGGTTATCTTCCTCATTGCTCTTCTTAACTTGCTTTTACCTTGCTCAGGTATTTTTCACTTCTTCCGCTTCTGTCCCTATGTTCTTTGGCTGTTAGCGCCTTTTTCTCGCTTTTCTGCTGGCGTAAGCTTATTTATGTGCTGTAATGTGATGAGATCACCATTTGCGTGCTGTTCCGGGATAGAATAAATAGCTTCTGTGATTGTGCTTGTTCTTTCATTAACTTATGATAAAACATCGCGGATTATGAATATCGAAGTAAATGTATAATAATGGAAGAACATCGTGACATGAGAGTTTGACACAATTGGTTCTTTAGCGTTAGTTCTGTACTTAGTTTTTTATTCTGTCGCATGAAGAATATTTGCATTAGACGATATGGATTATTCTGGGAAGCATACACCATACGTAGGTACATGTCCATATCATACTTATTAATCTTGAATATCGGTGCGTAGCGCCTGATCCTCCAAACTGCTATAGCGCTATAGCAGGCGGGTAGCGCTACAACGCTAATGTGCAAAGTGTACTTAAGTAATATACTAAATTGTACTCCACAAATATAAAACTTAAAATATGAAAATGTGACATAAAAAACAAATTTGAAGGATCTCAAACTCAAACATAAATGATTTCAAACATTAAAATTCAAATCATAAGCAAATTGAAGGAATTAAAGTCTCAAATAATGTAACACAACAAAATAAAGTTGCAATTAGTCAAAATTCAAACTACCACTTAAGTGAAATGTCAAAATCAAAGAACTTTAGGAACTAATCATAATTGAAATCATGAACATCCAAATCTTCATCTTCACTTTCACTTGTATCTAAGTTGTAAACCTCTTCCTTCTACGACTAGAACACTTTTGCAGAAACTACTGTTCAGCCGCAATAGCGGCCGCTACATGCGCTACACTTTGCCTGACCTTCGCAGCGCGGTCTGTGGCGGCCAGCCGCTGCATCACAATGCAACTCCGCTATAGCGCGCTAAAGCGGGGCTATTCACAAGTATGGCCCATATAAAGCAGAATGAACCCTGACTGGTAATTAACAGTTACCAAGTTCAGGGTCCCTGAACCTGAGACTGGGTGCGTTCATGTTTGCTAGTTTGTTACCTTGATAGGAGCTGAATTCTAGAAAGTTATAATTTCTCTGGGATTTTCTGCTGTGTTGTTTGAATAGGAGTTGGTTGTTTGTCAATAGTGTTATGAATATAATCCTTTTTGCTTTATTTATTATCATTCTAATTACGTCTAGGACAGTCTTTTTAATGTTTTTTCTCTATGTAGTTCTCTGCTAGTCAGTATGAATGACATATCATTATGTTACCCCCTCAATGTCTCATACTTGTCTATCACGTTCAAAACCTAGACTTCACATGCCAAACCTAATTCTTTGATGCAGTATTATTATAATGGATATTCAATCTTTCTTATTTTCGGGCAGTAAATATATTTGTCCTACCAATGGATTGCCTTAGGTATACAAATTATTTAGTATTTTAATCTAATGACTCCGTTCCATTCAAGCAGAACTATTACAATTTGATCCATCAAGTTATTTATGTTATCTGTTTCTGCTACTAGACGGAACATTGACTAGTCAAGAAATATATTTTACTTGCCTCTTGAAGAATATATTGCATAATCTAATTGCCTTAGGTATACAAATTATTTAGTATTTTAATCTAATGACTCCGTTCCATTCAAGCAGAACTATTACAATTTGATCCATCAAGTTATTTATGTTATCTGTTTCTGCTACTAGACGGAACATTGACTAGTCAAGAAATATATTTTACTTGCCTCTTGAAGAATATATTGCATAATCTAATTGCTTTTAACAACTACCTCATTAAATTCTACTAATTAACCTGCTTGAGACTAAACTGGATATTATGTGTTCAGTCTCTGTCGCAGGATCAACAGAGGGGACACGCGGACTTAATTTTTCATCCTTTCTTTTGGTCTATGAACTCTTTGATACACTTAATAATTCCTATATCTGATGCTCTATTTCTGGAAGCAACTTAAATGTTTTAACTTCGTATTGGCAGTTCTACCCTAAGCATATAAATTTCATTTTTAAGAAGCTGCTTCATTTTTAGAGATGAAGTCTGATTAAGATACGAGCGTATTTAAGGGCAAATCCCCAGTGCACACGGCTCTTCGACTTTGTGAGGCTAGGGGTGAGTGTCAATTGTATGCAGTCTTACCTTTGCACTTTTGTAAAGAGACTGTTTCTAGAACTCGAACTGGTCACCTTCCAGTCTCAAAGGAGAAAGCTTAACACCGCTTCATGGCTCTCCCTCATATTTGTTATAATAAAATTTTTGCTAGTTCATATTACTTCTACATGTACCACAAACTTATGTGGTGAAATATTGGAAACTCAGACAGACAAATTACTTTCCAGTTTGGATTTTTAAAAATAAAAGATGCAAAAATCGAGCATTATATAGCGTAATTGCAAATTTTAACAAAAAGTTCATTTTGGGATAAATTTATTTTGAAGTATATTGCTAAAGTATACTTGGATATTTACTGAAGTCTTGAGAAAGATGGCAGTGGAAATCCTTCTCCCTTTGATAGGCTTTTTTGAATTAATCCAATGCAATATTTATGTGTACTTGTGCTCCAGTCCATATTGGATTACACTCTTATATTTTTGGTGGTACAAGTGATAAGAAAATGAAGACTAATGCTTAATAAAACTAGAACCAACAAAATCCACTGCAAAACACGTATTCATTCCCAGGTCAATAGTCTGCTAGATTGCACAAGACAAATAATGTCGAGTGCCCCATTTTGCTAGAAAATCCACGAACTGACTGCTTTCTTGGAAAGCATGCTTCAAGCTTACAAGTTACAACCACACTCTTTGCTATTAATGAAAAGATTATGATTTGATATTTTACGTTATTTTCAAGAGATTACTTTTAAGGCATTCTCTGAAGATGCTATGCTGTTATGTGTGACATAGTTGGTTCTTTGCATGCAGTGAAGTCGGTTTCTCTCAGTGTGTCATTTGCCTCATCGGAAAGAGCTAAAACTTGGTTAGTTAAACCTTCTTCTGGTCCATCCCTGGCACCTGTTCCATCTCCATCTTATCAAGGTATATTATCATATTTTTCAATAGATTGCTGTTAAACTTAATATTAGATTTGAGTCTAAGGGCTATTCTTTTCGTATTTTAGGTCCTAGTGTGACTCCAAGACCAAAATATCATGGTCATCATCGTCGCCATCATGCCGTGAGACCTTATGTAGTGGCTCCACCCCCTTCTAAAGACCAAGGTAATTTTTAAAGTTTAGACACCTATCTTTTGCTCCTACTCTTCCTGGGGTCAGGAGTAGTTATAGTATCTCAACAACTTTTGGTCTTTCCATTTTGTAGTTACAATTTGTTTTTCTTTTTATGTATCTCTGAATCTCTATTTGGTCAAATAAGTTGATCAAGAGAGTCATGACCTGATTCTTCATTTGTTGTTAACCTAGTAATCTGAACTTTGTGATTATGCTGCCTTCTTAGCCTTTTATCATGTGCTGTTGTTAATCATGGAAAGATGATGTAAATAGAAATAATGTCAAAAATAGAGGTATTTTGAAGAAATTTCTTAATCTAATCATTTTGCTTCCTTAGATAACAAATGTTTTATGTGATGGAAAATTATAATTTGTTTAATCAGTTTGCTGTCTAGGGTGTGTGATAATTATTGCTTGCTTCAAATTTATGATAAAATGTATATTGTGGGAAAAATCATTTTAAACTGTATTTTCCTTTGGATGTTTAGCAGCCTATGCTATCCGAAAATTATTTCCTGCTGCTCAAGGTTATGGTAGGCTGCAATGGGTTTAATTAATGCAATAGACCTAAATATTTGTTTTCATGCAAACTCAAATTAATCATTTCCATGAAATAAAACCTTTTACTGATTGAATGGATTTCTGAACCTAACATTTGTTTTTGGCCCTCCCTTTTAGTGTCTCATTCCATATACTCATTTATAATGAAATCTCTGGCAGCTTGTGAGCCATTCTGTACGGATCCGCTCACATCAACTCCCTTTGGTACACCTTGTGGTTGTGTATTTCCCATGAAAGTCAGGCTTACACTAGATGTAGCTCCTTATGCTGTTTTTCCAGTAATGACTGAGTTAGAGAACGAGGTTGCATTAGGCACATATTTAGAACAGAGTCAGGTGAAGATAATGGGTGCCACTGCTGACAGTCAAAATCAGGGAAGAACTATTGTTGATATTAACTTGGTTCCACTGGGAGAGAAATTTGACAATACCACTGCAGCTCTGACATATGAGAGGTTTTGGCATAAAAAAGTTCCTCTAAATAGGAGCCTTTTTGGTGATTATGCTGTAGTGTACATCACTTATCCAGGTAATTATGTTTCTCCTAATAACATTTTACTTTACCAGTGCTGTGTTACTGTTTGAGACTGAAGCTGTTGGTATCAGGAATGCCATCATCGCCACCATATGGAGCTATAAGTGGGAGTGGTCCCAGTGAAAGTGAAGATGGTATTCTGCCAGTCAGTGCCAACTTTGACAACAAGAGCCAGAAAATGAATCTCAGAACCATAATCATTATTGCTTTATCTTCCTTTGTACTCTTGCTGGTTTTGGTTGGAGCATTTTCCATCGCTTTGAAATGGAAGAAGATTAGGAGACCATCAAGTGCTGTAGGCCCTGCTTTCCCATCATCTCTAAACAAGAGATCTGGTATGATTTTGAACTTTTTTTTGATGTTTTTAAAACAATTTTATAATGCTTAAATGAAATTAGCTGAATTTTATGTATGATTGCTAATCATTTATTGTATACTCAACTGGGCTATTCCCTAAAATATTATTCTTCAGTTTGATTATGGCTCCTATTTTAGTTTCTTTCTTTTAGTTCACCTTGCTTTCCTTGTTATGTGCAGAAGATTATATTTGTGTAGTTAAGCTCTATTTCTTGGGAAAGTGAAGTTATACGATCTAACTTCATGAATTTGCAGTGTGTAGACTTGTTTGACTTCGAAGGTTTTCCTAGTGTCATTACTCATACTCATTGATGTTGCTTTTGTACCCATTCAATTAGGTTTCTTTGATTTATACGTGTGTAGTTTTTGTGATTGATATTAAATTTTTATATTACAACTGTAAATCAGACTTATTCTATTGAATACATACTATTATTATCATGTAGGGCACGAATAATATTAATGAGATGTCCTCTGCCTTTGGTGATTATTGATTTGTACCTGCAGCTCAAATATATTGGCAACGTGAACATTTTCATTTTACATTTATAAATTCCACTTTCTCTAGTATGTGAACTTGTATTTATGAGGTGCAAATATGGTATTTATTTATCCTTGTGTAATATTTAGTAATTGTCATGTTTTCTTGGTTATCTTCTTTATTCTTTCATTTGTATAATAGTTGAAGTAATGTAAATGGATTGATGCTTGTAATTCAGGCTTGGGGTCTATGTTGTCAAGCAGTATTACAAGCTCGACATCAGTGTCCCTTATGTCCGCAACAGCTACTTCCATTCTCTCCGCTAAAACATTTTCTCTCTCTGAGCTTGAGAAAGCTACAGATAAGTTTAGTTCAAGGAGAGTATTAGGAGAAGGAGGATTTGGACGTGTTTATAGTGGGACATTGGAAGATGGGACTGAAGTCGCGGTTAAGCTGCTTACAAGAAATAATCAGAATGGAGATCGTGAATTTATTGCAGAAGTTGAGATGCTAAGCCGTTTGCATCACCGTAATCTAGTGAAACTGATTGGTATATGCATTGAAGGGCGTAGGCGTTGCTTGGTGTATGAGCTTGTTCGCAATGGCAGTGTTGAGTCCCATCTGCATGGTAATATATTTTCATCATCTCAAGATGTGCAGCTCATGTTCAATTTATATTTATTTTCCATCTGATAAATTAAATTATTTAAATGCTTGTTAATGATCCTGCAGGTGATGACAAGAAAAAGGTACCTCTAGATTGGGCTGCACGGATGAAAATTGCCCTTGGAGCTGCAAGGGGATTGGCCTATCTTCATGAGGATTCTAATCCTCGTGTAATTCACAGAGACTTTAAAGCTAGCAATGTGTTACTAGAAGATGACTTTACCCCTAAAGTTTCTGATTTTGGCTTGGCAAGAGAAGCGACTGAAGGAAGTAATCATATTTCTACACGGGTGATGGGAACTTTTGGGTAAGTGTAAAACAGACTTTATCTGCAGCATTTTTATTAAGCACTTTCTTAAACATTTTGAGTATTATAGATGTAAAGTTCTTTGATAACCTTCAATATTTACTACTTTAAAGTTTGGGATGATATTGAACTCTTGATTAACTTATAACCTATATATTATGGTAGTAAATTTATGAAAGATTCTAATAGTTAAACACACATCCTGCCACCTTGCTAACCATAGTAGATTTTTTCAGATTGTCTCTTCTCTCAACTGAATAATTTTAGCTTTATGACTTCAATTTGCTCCACGGATCTTGTAAGGTGTAATTCGTGTGTCCAATAAATTATGCATGGTTTCGTTCTGTTTTTGATGCAGTGCAAATTCCAGGCCTTAATTTGATCCCTTTCTAATTGTTCCATTTTGCAGGTACGTTGCCCCAGAATATGCGATGACAGGCCATTTACTTGTTAAAAGTGATGTTTATAGTTATGGTGTTGTGCTGCTTGAACTTCTCACTGGCAAAAAACCAGTGGATATGTCTCAACCTCAGGGACAGGAGAATCTTGTAACTTGGGCACGGCCACTTTTGAGGAGTAGAGAAGGTTTAGAACAGTTAGTGGATCCATGTTTGGCTGGAAGTTGCAACATTGATGACATGGCAAAAGTTGCTGCAATTGCTTCAATGTGTGCTCACCCGGAGGTCACGCAGAGACCTTTTATGGGTGAAGTTGTGCAGGCTCTTAAGTTGATATACAATGACACAGATGAGACTGGTGGAGATTGTAGTAGTCGTAAGGACTCCTCTGCTCAGGACTCTGATTTTAGAGGTGACCTTGCCCCTTCTGATAGCAGTTGGTGGAATGCTGGAGGGATTACCCCTCGATTAACTTATGGGCAAGCATCTTCTTTCATCACAATGGAATATAGTTCTGGTCCTCTTGAAGAAATGGAAAACAGACCGTTTTCAACTTCAAGCATGATTGAAGATGAGATATCTTTACCAATTAGGCATGGGAATAGATCAGGCCCCTTAAGAACAGTCCGAAGCAAGCTATCGTTCTATAGATTTACAGGAAGCCGGAGTGAGCATGGGGGACCTTCTTCCAAGCGTGATTGGAATGATGGTTACTTGGTTTAAGGTTTGAGGTTTTTTCTAGTGTTTTTGAAATGTACAGTTCCTAAAGGGAAGTGATCCGAACTATTGATTGAGTGACTGGTTTAGCTTAGACGTCTCAAATTTCTGCAGTTTTCTTGTTAAGGTTGGAGAGATAGGGGTATTGACTAATTTTGAAATATTGATTCATTATACAAGGAGGAAATGTAACTTGAACAATTGTGAATGCCTTGAATTGTATCTCGTGGCTCCATTTCATTCCTGTTAACGAGGACGTGCCATATATAGCCAAAATTAATTCACTATGATAATCCCTGCTCTGTCTATATTTACTAGCAGCGGTATACGCAAATATGCAATGCTAGTGTATTGAAAAGGTGTATGAGGAAAAACCAAATGTTATTTAATTTAATAAATTACCATACTCATAGCTTGTCTTATTTATTCAACCTTTTCATCTTTAAAATTTATAATTTGTAAAATTAATAAATTACCATAGTTTTTTAAGACGAAAATTACTATAAGTAGTAGTGTCCAAAAGAACCAAAAAATTGAATTATAAACTGAATTAAACTGTACTAAAAAATAAATAAATTAATAACCAGTTCTTAAGCTCAATTGTATTTTAAAAATCAGTTCATGAATTGAAGTGGCTTTCTGATTCTGTTTATTGCCACAGATTGGTAAAACGAAGGTATTTATTCGAGCTGGTCAAATGGCAGAACTAGATACCCATAGTAGTGAGATCTTGGGAAATTCAGCAAGCATTACTCAGAGGAAAGTTCGAACCTATTTGGTTCGCCAAAGTTTCATCTCGCTTCGTTTATCTGCTATGCAGATTAAGCTGCATGCAGAGGTCTATGCTCGTTGGCGGAGCCAATTCAAAAATTTAGGTGGTGACAAAAAATTTGATATATCAAAATATTTATCGTAATTACAAATTTATTAGAAAAAAAATTTACTATAAATTCTAACATAGTTATTTAAATTATGTACTAAATAATGTCATATACCATTGAAAATTCACATGAACAATTGTCATTAATTATATATTAAAGCAAATATATAAAAATGCATTAACCTTTCCAGTTAACATTTCAAACATAAGAATTTCACTTTCCTCCCATAACATAATAAATAATTAGTCAAACATTGTACTAAAGATATGAAAACACACAAATATAATAATTATATGTATAATAAGCATTGTCCTCTGTCTCCTCTTTCATTGTCTCCATTCCTTAAATTTTCAATATTTTACATTAGAGAATATCGCCCTTGTTTGCAACAGCCATAAGCACGATGGAAAGTTCTCACATTTGAAAATTAGGTCTTTGACTATTCCTTGTGTATACAATAACCCTAAACACAATAGTTTAATGGACCTTCATATTCCATAACTATAGACCTGTTATTCATTTGGTTTCATGATTATTATTTTCAAGGGTTAAGTATGTGTCCTCTTAAAGGACACAAATTGAGTCCTTTTAGTTTTTAACACTATGTCTTATAGGTAAGACAGTGTTAACATGAAAAGTTGCTTTTTTTATCTCCACGTTAGCTAGAGTGACTGAGGAAAGAGAATAAAAAAATAATTTTTCATATTATAACTATGTCTTACTGGTAAGATAGAGTGTAAAAAACTAAAAAGATACAAGGTTATGTCCTTTAAAAGGACAAACTCTTTATCCTACTTTTAAATGAGTTTATTTGGTTTAGTTAGACCCAAATTTTGAAACAGGCCAACTAATCATTTTTGTGATTAAGTTTAGAAGTTTTTCTTTTTAAAAATAATAGGAATAAGAATAAATAACATAATTGATTAGAATAAAGCAGAAAAAAAACAAACATACAAGATAAAAAATAAAAAAAGGTGAAACATAAAAATATAACCATACTATACATGTTCCTTATTATTTATTTGCATTTAGACGGTTCGTCGTTATTTTGTATAGAGTATTTGATTTTTTATTTAGATGGTGTCAAATTATAATTTTAACCTTAATTAATTATATAATATATAATAATAAGTAAAAAAAAAAAAAAAAAACAAGTGCCAAGGCACCTGCTGGCTTAGATGTGGCTACGCCACTGTGCTCATTGTTCTTGGAGTATTAGCTCAGTTGTTGGATTTGTGTAAAAACGTATAGTCATCCGTATCATACGATACATGATAGGATTTATAAGGAAAGGGATATGTATTATGATATGTATCAGAGAAAAGTTTGTATCGGATGATATCATACTGTATCGTATAATACTATACATTGTGTATATGATACAAAAAATTAAATCAAAATTAGTAAATTTTAAAATAAAAAAATAAATATTTAATTTATAATTTAAATTAAAAATATATATAAACTTATTTTATTAATAAGGAAAAAATAAAACTTTAATTTATGATTTTAACTCAAAAATCAATATAAAAAATTTATATTGATAAAAATAATAATTAAATAAATATTTTTCTAAATATTTTTTATTATATTTTGATTACGATTCAATACGATTAACAATATAAAGAACCGGTCGAATGATAAACAATAGATATTATGATTCAATAACTTTGATATTGAGTATATAAACTTTATGTAAGTTAAACATTAAACATTATTTTTAGATATATGGATGCAGCAATAATTGTGCTTTGAGGTTTTTGAAATAAGTTAATTTAATATAAAACAATAGATAAAATAAAACCATTCGATTATTCAAGCATAAAAAACTATATATTGATTGTAATAATGTAATTTGTAGCTGAAATTAAAGTATTCGAGAGGTTAAAAAGAAAATCGCCGTTGCCGGGGATCGAACCCGGGTCACCCGCGTGACAGGCGGGAATACTTACCACTATACTACAACGACCCGTTGATGTAAGTGCCAGTCAAAAAATAGAAAGACATGGTTGACGTTATAAAGTCAAGCAGAAGTCACCATCGTCCTCAGTGCTCGCCTTGAACTTGAAGAGAAGCAGAAGTCAAACGGTCCCACTGCACCTTCAACTAGAACGCAACCACCATAACTAACCAACCAACCAACCGTTCCTTTCTCTGATGGCATGCATGTCGAAGCCTTTCGGCGTATCATCTTCTCCTCAGATCTTTCAATTTCGTCGTCGCTTCCATTCTAATGTACGATTTACTTTCATCACTCTCTCTCTCTTTTTTTTTTTTTCGTTCAATTCGATTCGATTCAATCCTCATTGTTAATTCCTTTCTTCTTGTTTCAGTCAATGAGGTTCCGTCACACAAGTTTCATCACCAAAATGAAAATGTCCTCCGACGACCTTCCTCCTCTTCCTGAAAACCGCATCGTCGTGCGTTGACTCTTCCATCTCTCTCTCTCTCTTGTTCGCTCGATTTTCCTGATTTTGTGGAATCGGAAGTGAAAGAGTTATGATTATTATATACGTAGGTTGGGTGCGGAATGACGACGGTGGATTTCTTGGCTACTGTGGATGCATTTCCCAAACCCGATGACAAGGTCAGAACCACCTCGTTGAAGGTTCAAGGAGGTGGCAATGCTGGTAATGCTTTAACTTGTGCTGCCAGACTCGGCTTGAAACCCAAGATCATCTCCAAGGTTTTTTTTTTTTTTTTTTTTTAAATTCCTATATTTGTTTAATGTTTCAATTTTCTCATAGGCATGATCCAAACTTGATTGAGTTGCTTGTTATTTGTTTTTATTTATTTATTTATCTATTTGGTGGATTGTCTAGGTTGGAGATGATTCCCAAGGCAAGGGCATATTGAAGGAGCTAGAAGCCGATGGTGTTGATACTTCCTTTGTCGTGGTAAGGTTCAGTTTGTGTGCTGCTTGTAATCTCTTTTTTTTTAAAAAAAAAAAAAAACAATGGTTTTCCTTCGTGTTTTAGGATTTTAGATCTGTCTCTCTTGCTTTATTGCTATTCGGTTTGATTGATTGCTTTGCTCTGGAAGCATCGAGCATGCTATTCCATATTTGATAAGATGCAATTTTTTTATGTGATTGCAGCTAGATCTTCCTATTAAGATTGCGTTTTTTTTTTTTTAAGGATTTGTCAAGATTTTAATAAGCAAATGTTTGCAAAATAAATAATAAAAAAAATCATCCATTCAACATATTTACGTGTCATCCAATAAAGATTCATTTTTTTTTTTTCATTTTATTACTCGAATTTTACTATCTTTATCTGTTTGATTTGTTTATTTGATAGGCTAGAACTGATCTACATGCACTTGGAACTTGTAAGAGTTATTTCATGTTTGTATGAATAGCTAGATGCCTAGAACTGAAATGTCATCATCCCACTCATATGCCAGCCCAAACCAAATACACTCTTTTGTAGGCTCAAGAAGAACCTTCTTCCTTGAGCATACTTTATGTACTTAATATGAGCCTTTAAGATTAAAGCAAATGGGGAGATGAATATTTCATTAGTTTCTTTTTTATTTTGTAATTTGTCTATTGATAAAGAATTGTGGTGCTTGATTGTTTGCACTTCTTTCCTAACAAGTTATCACTTTCTGAGTTGAAAGTTTTTTTTTTTTTTTTTTTTTTTTTTTTTCAGGTATCCAAGGGTGGTAGTTCAACATTTTCATATGTACTAGTTGACAGTCAAACGTAAGGCAGTTGCTTGTATGTTTTGCCCCTTACTTCCCACTAAGATTAATATTAACGTCGTTTTCTTTAACAATATGAAGAAACCTGCTGATTCAAAACTCAAAATGGGCATGATAATCTTACGAAAAGTTTTTCAGAAAACACAGTTTCATGACCTTATGCCAGAGCTCTAGAGTATTTCAGCTTAGCCAGTGCCCCTTGTATTAAACATGTTCTGAGTCTGACATTATGCATAAAGGTGTATTGATCTGTTAATATTCAAGACAAAGACTTTTTCTGTTTTAAAATACTCATGTGCTTCTTTGAGAAACTTTCACCATCTCCCCATGTGTAATGTATTTCAATTCTTTTATCACATAATGACGCTTACTGGTGATTCTACTGGTTTCAGAAAGGCAGCTGGAGTCCTGAAAGTATATTTCTATTGGCAATACTTCTTTATCTACATCATTTTTTTTTTTTTTTTTTTTTAAAAATTAGGTATGATCCTTTATGGCCAAGCTTTTCCATTAAAATGGAAATACACGCTTAAATATACCTGGGCCAATCTGCCTAGGCTTTCTGTAGTTTAATTGAGTCAACTAATTATAAGTAATACTCCCAGAAAAACTCGCACTGGTATTTACACCCCTGGAGATCCTCCCATGATGCCAGATGACTTGTCTCAGTCAACGTTATTATCTGCATTTGATGAAGCAAGATTAGTTTATTTTGATGGAATGTCTACCGAAACTGCTCTATTTGTTGCAAAAGAGGTAATTGTTATCTTACTTTTGCTTGCAGTTTTTTCACTACTGCAGGATAAGTTTTTAAGGCATGAATACTGGTAAATGATAAATTACTTTAAGTTGTCAGTTGTCACTTTCAAATTTATTCATGAAGACAGGGAATTGTCCTGTAGGTGAGCTTTTTATTTTTAGTTTTTACCCAACTTGGTGAATGGGGTTTATAACATTGGGAAGGAAAGAATACTTAATTCACTTAGCTTGCATGAACATTGTCTGTCCTGGGTTCCAGGGAAGGGGTGAAATCTTGGAGTCGTTACGCATATTTTAGTTTTGAATATATTCTTAGTCATTGAATTTTCATGTACAGGCAGCTCGCAATAATGTTCCTATTTTAGTTGAGGCAGAATCTCTGAGGGAAGGAATGGATGAGCTCCTGAAGCTTGCTGACTTTGCTGTATGCTCGGCAAGGTTTCCACAGGTAATATGAGGAACTTAAAGCTTGTCTATAATCAAATTATCTTTTGGCCTGAATACATTTTAAATTGATATGGAATATGTAAATTTGGATTCTTTAGTATGTTAATAGTGGGATTTACTAGAAAATGTATCTCTTCTCGGCATCTAAGGAAGGGATACATCTGTTCAAAGTCTGTAGATTGAAAATACACTACGTGATGTTTTCAAAATGTCCTCTTATCAGCACCCAAAAAAGAATGTTCCTCATTTGACACATTCAATTTACATTTACTTTTAAACTTATGCTTTTTATGTCATGATGAGCTTGAATTTCTGTTTAGGTGGGATTCTCCTCTAATTACATATATGATATGTCCATATGCATATGCTCCTGCTTGCTTATGTCTAGTCCTCTGTGGTGTCGCTTATTTGGGATTTGTTTTGCATGAGTGTTAGGCTTGGACGCAGGCATCATCTATCCCGAGTGCAATGGTATCCACGCTTTTAAGATTGCCAAATATCAAATTTGTTGTTGTCACTTTGGGTGAAGATGGTTGTCTAATGTTGGAAAGAAGTGCAAACGGTAAGCACACCACTGGCTTTATCAGTTTTACTTTTTAATTTCTTGAAGCATTGCATAATGTTGTAAAATTATTGCTTTGAATTGCACTATTTTCTTGGAGCAAATATAAATTACAAATTTAATGCCAGAGGACGCTGACATAGAAGAAAGGGATGCAGAGAGTTTCTTAGAATTCTTATATAAAGGGAAAGACGATAGCTTGGCCGTCCCAACCTGTATATCATCGGTAAAATATTATTGAACCTAAAACTTCTACAACTTTTATTTTAATAGGAAGAGAAGATATATTCTGAAAATACAGCCTTGAGCACAAAAATATATATTTTTTAACTAAAAAACGAAGAGAAAAAAAATACAAAGAGAAAGGAGGATCTCAGCTAATTTAGATCTTGGAGGGTCATGGCTGATATAAAAGCAACTTCTTGTATTGACAATTGAGGATCTTGATTGGTTGAGTTTACCAACATTTCAAATTTCATTACTTAAGCATCATGATTTTGCATATAAGCATATCAGATACGAGCCATGCAAAAGCAAGCATGGAAGTAAGACCATATGCTTAAATATAATAATGTCTCACAAGTTACATCTTTCGGTTGTTTGGCATGAGATAAATTGGAAGGAATCATTTCACGGGTGTGTGAGATATGTTACAAATGCTTTGTACAATAAAAGTATTCTTGCCCTGTTTGGTTTTGCTCTAGATTGACATTTTCAGTAGAATAACAACCACCACCAAGCTTCCCTTTTGGTAGAGTCGGCTATTGGTTAATTGACACCAAGAATTATATCAACAGTATGTAAGTTAAAAACTTAAAGCAATTGAGTAAAACGTATTCTTTTTAAAATATTAATATCTATGATCGCAAATATATACTGAATTTGTTTAGATCCAATTTTGCAATTTAACTTCATATAGATTGTGTAGAAGTTAAATGTGTATTAATTAAGAAATGATGAGTTGAAGAATATTGAAAAATAAAAACTGAAAATGCAATAAATACATTCAAGGATTTTAATACTAATCTAATTTGACATAGTAAAGTTAAAAATATAAGTTGGGAGACAGTAACAGTAGCTTTCAGTCTTGGATTTTATATGCATTATAGATAGACATAAATTAGTCAATTCTACTTCAAATAGATAATAGTGATAAATACTATAAGATTATATTATTTTTCTTTTTATTTTTACCGGATGATTTCCCAGGTGGTGACAAAATTCAGAGCAAATGGAATAGGGACAATTTATGGTAGATTCTTTATTGGAACAGCAGAGAAGATACCAGATTCAGAGCTGATCGATACAACTGGTGCTGGGGATGCATTTATTGGAGCCATTATTTACGGTAGGTTTAGTCACTACCTGAGTAGATATTATACAAAGTGTAGGGTGTTCCATCCCGCCTTCATACTCCTCACCTCTCCCTCCCCTCCCCTCCGAGGGCCTCCCGGTGGGCTCTTCCTTGGGCCCACCCTACTGGCCACTGGCCAGGCCCTCCCAGAAACCAAGAGCAATTGTTAGAGACGCATATGGAAATTATTTGGGCGCTTGACATGGTTTAAAAGATATACTCTCCTAATATCTAATCTGAGTAAGCTTGGATTAGCAGCTATACAGAACCCAGAACTCAAAAAGTTACCAGAAATGACACGATTGCCATCTGTGTTTTTACATTTGTTTTAAGTTTTTTTCTTTGGTAAATTGGATGTTAAAGGTTTTAGGATAATTGATTATTCTCTCTGACTTTCTTTATAGCTATCTGTGCAAACATGGTACCGGAGAAGATGTTGCCATTTGCTGCTCAAGTGGTAAGTTTCCCAAAGATAAAAAGGAATGTTATTCATATTTCAGAGTGGATTTCAAACTGAAGTAAGAAAATTGAATGATGAAGTATTTTTCCTTTTGATATTAATTTCATGGTGATTGCTTCAGGCAGCTGCCAAGTGTCGAGCTTTGGGAGCTCGAACTGGTCTTCCACATCGTACAGATCCACGCTTGGCATCCTTTTTACGCTAATAAAGAAAATTGGTATTCCCATCAATAAAGCTCAACGCTCTTCCTTCTCTGCTTTTGGAATGATCATGTTTACTTTGTGGTTCTATGTACATGTCTTGTTGTAAGATGTACCCCCTATATTTTGCACAGCTCATGAGTTCAATAAGAGAGGTTATTACTTTTGGGTGATGAAATTTTTTCCTGCCACCATTTGATTTTACAGATCCTTTTGTATCTCATGCTTGAGACTCACTGGGTGGTTATTTTCCCGGTATTAGAAAGATATTCTTTACGTCGAAAAGAAGCGAGAATTTCTCATTTTAATTAAGCTCTAAGGTAGTGTTTGGTTCGGGACATCTGGAGATTTTCTTAGCAAAGTGCACGTGGGTATCTCATATGTCCACGTTTGGTTGAGGGAGAAGCTGAAATTTGTCCATCAAAGTCGCTTCCCTAGCAATCGACATCCGTGTGTAAAAATTGGATATTTGCACGGTTGAAGAAGCCCTTTTGGATGGTGGAATTGTTGAGAATACCAGACAACTCGTTTTGGGGATGAAAAGTGTGACTTATTTACCCCTCTTCTTATCCTAATGTGAGTGAGCGATGGGTACCGGTTATGCAGCAGCGCAGGATCAGGTAGCGATGAAGTGTCTGCAACACAACATGGACTTACCCTAGCTTATGTGGGCTGCTGGGAACTCGAACCGTAGAGTGATACGAGACAATGACGAAGGAAGGAGACAAGGAAGGAGACAGAGACGACACCCAAAGACGGAGACAATGACGAAGATGTGTGGATATTACCGTTTGGACAATCGTTGGTATAAAGGGCAATTTTAAAAAAGGATAGTTTTGTAATTTCCGTTACTTTCCCGTCAATATAAAATATTGAACCTAACACTTCATAAGGGGAAAGTGTTTCTCCAATAACACGAGAAAAACTTATCTTTGGTGTTTCTCTATCTATTATATATCTCCGTTAGACATTCATTTTTAAATTTTGAAGCATCAATATTTGCTACCTCTAATGTTTATACAATATTAAAGGATTTGACAGTTATTGTGACACTGTAAAATTATGGAAATAAAATAAGGATTTATTGTTTTTCGAAGATAAATTTATCTCCTATACACGTATAAAAATACGTTGGATTCATTTTATTTTATTTTCTTTTTTCTCCTTATATGGACCTATATAGACTCCGTACACTTTTATGTATGTGCAGAAGATAAATTTTATCTCTTGCGATATCAGAAAAATTAACCCGAATAACTAATAAGGAATAATCATTCGGCTACAAGAAGGAGCATTGATTCTTCTAAACATAATTGCTATCCTTTTTTTTTTATCTCCTTTTTCACTTTATTGGCATGTTATCCGCATCAAGAACATTGATTTGGTAATTTAGTTTGTTTAGACAAAATATAAATCAGGTTCTTTAATACACACTAATTTGGTATGTCAGTAACTGGGGATAATTTAAATTAGGCCCATAATCACTGACTTACAACTCGTACTCATGTATGCATTTGAATGCGTGTTCCAACATACCCTTACCTGATTGAAAATATTTCATGCGTAGTCAAATGAAAAATAAGATAGAATGAACTATGAAACCTATTATCCTTTTATTTATTTTTAATTTCTGCAATATAGTTGTTGCAAACGTCATCCTTTATCATATCCCTCTGATGTATTATTTTCCTATCAAATCTCAACCGTTTTAAATATTAAAATGTGTCCACCAATTTTGGTTTTGTTTATACTTAACTAACTGTTTAGTTCATACTATTAAACACAGCCACTTTTAGTCAAATGCAAATGGATTTATGAACTTGACGAAAATATACAAGTATATAGGCCAAGCCAACATATATTGGTTAACTTGGTAATTTTTTCGACATATACAATCCAAAAGAGAATAGAACGGACCCAGTATTTTTCTTTGGGGCGAAAAATTAATATTTCTTTCATTCTCATTATTAAAATAAGGGAAATTCATTTGTTATATTAAAGGAAGGGTTTGTCGTTTCTCCGTTCGCTGCTGATGAGAAAAGTTGCAGCAAATTATTAACACTAGGATACGCGTCCGGATCCTGGCCTAAAAAAAAAAACATATCAGGATCTGGATGCGTATCTTGATAAAAATAAATATTGTTGCATTTTTTTCCATTTGCAGTGACAGATATATAACCCTTAAAGGAATTATGAGTAGTTTTTCAACTTTTGATGGGTCCCATTATAATTTTTTCTCACACCTCTTTTTCTTTTCTCTCACCTGATTTATTGTAGTATTAGTTTATGTAGGAAGTATTAGTTTTGTCCCGTAACATGACAAAACTAATACCCTTAAAATAACCACTTAAATTTAAAAGGTAAGGATAGTAAACCTGGTTGATAAGCCTCCCAATACACAGGGAACGAAACTCTTGGCATGCCGTGGTCTTTTGAAGATTGTGAACAATAGTCAACATATATGATGCACACCAAGATAGTGTCAATGACACCAGGCAATATAAAATACCCAACAATAGATACGATAGGAGCTCTGAAAATAAGTTGAATAATCTCTTTCATGATTTGATATACTTTACTGATATTTGACATGACAGAAAGGAGTAAAGCAATAAGTAACAAACACTAAAATGTTTTTAGAGGGATTGTAAACAAATAAATTCATAGCAATGGAACTAGTTACTAGAAGATGAATTACTATTTCCACATCACTTTCTAAAAATAATAGACTCTAGAATTAGATTAAAATAAAGTCTTAAAATAAGACAAAGGAAGGTATTTTTTTGTTGTCTATAAAATGCCCAGTTCTATATATTTTTGCTTGAATAGCTGTATAAATGTTTTTCGGTTCAGTCTTTTACTTTTTGGTTTAAATTTGAATCTGCTATAAGTGAGCTTAAGTGTACATAAGATAATTCATATCTACCCAGAATTTTGCAAAAGAAGTTGTTAGTGGTGACTTGATTCAACCCCCTTCTCATGGTTTCTTTCATCATCAAAATGAAGGTAAGGGAAATCGAGTGAAGCAACGACGTAAATTTACTCTAGCTTTAGAAAACAACACTAATTGGCTTTGCATTGGTATAAATCAAATCTCATTTCACTGAGTGAGCTGAGCAGAAAAATGTAATTAGTGAAACGTACAGGAAAAGAACCTATAAGCTTGTAAATAATGCATACAACTCTATGCTTTTAAAAATACTAGATAATCATCAATTAATATAGACATGACAGATGATCGGTATCCAGAACTAAAGAGATTATAATGATTTAAATAGTAATATAGCATGTAAAAGTCTCTCCTCTTCTCATATCCTGGTTGTTTAGGAATCACCTAGAGAGATTACAACATCAAAAAATGGCTTTATGAAATTGATATTTCACATGCCAAGATTAACATGGCAGTTAAATCCAGATATAAACTATTTTAATAAGGATATTGAGAAGCAAAACAAATAGTCACATTGTTGAGGTAAAATGTTTTCCAAAAAGTTCATGAAAAACCATCTTGCCATTTTAATAGATCTTAATTGACACAGTGCAAACTGGTTGAACCCATAAGATTGTTGGAATCACTATTTATTTTGTCTCATACAATTTGATCTTACACAAACAAATACAGATTAAAAATAATCACATATTGTGGTGAATTTAAGAAGTTTACAACTTTGTGTTGAACTCATAAATGCCATACCTAACTAAGATTGAGAGAGTAAATAGGGGAAAAGAAACAGGATCAGATTTTGCGTTAAACTCATAAACTCACACAGCTAATTTTTTTTCTTTCAAATTTTGTTTGGGGGGAGGGGGCACCCTAGCCCTCTTGGATCCACCCCTGCATGATGTTGTTGAGATATATAAGTCCCACATTGATTGGATGGGCAACTAATATGGTCTTTATAAGGCCTTGGGCACTCCCACCCCTTGAGCTAGCTTTTGAGGTGGTGACCTCAAGGTTCTTAACATGGTATCAGAGCCTCACCGTCCCCCGCTTTAAAAAAGTGGAATTAAAATAAAAATAAAAAAAGCACAAAAAGGTAAACCAAAAATGGGCCTGTGCAATTTCCACGCTTCTAGCCTAAAGGACTCTTGCGTGAGGGGGCGTGTTGAGATATATAAGTCCCACATTGATTGGATGATCAACTAATATGACCTTTATAAGGCCTTGGGCACTCCCACCCCTTGAACTAGCTTTTGGGGTGGTGACCTCAAGGTTCTTAACAGATGTAACCAACTTGATTGGGAAAGCCACGGTAAAATGGATGCATGGAATACCCAGTGGCACATCCAGATTTTTTTTCGATGGAGGCAAAAGTAAATTTTTTTTATATTATAAACAAAAGTAAATACAACAAAATATGAACCTAATATAAAAAGCTTGAAAGAATTTTATTACAAGATTCAAGGTCATTCACATGGTATCAGAGCCTCACCGTCCCCCGCTTTAAAAAAGTGGAATTAAAATAAAAATAAAAAAAGCACAAAAAGGTAAACCAAAAATGGGCCCGTGCAATTTCCACGCTTCTAGCCTAAAGGACTCTTGCGTGAGGGGGCGTGTTGAGATATATAAGTCCCACATTGATTGGATGAGCAACTAATATGACCTTTATAAGGCCTTGGGCACTCCCACCCCTTGAACTAGCTTTTGGGGTGGTGACCTCAAGGTTCTTAACAGATGTAACCAACTTGATTGGGAAAGCCACGGTAAAATGGATGCATGGAATACCCAGTGGCACATCCAGATTTTTTTTCGATGGAGGCAAAAGTAAATTTTTTTTATATTATAAACAAAAGTAAATACAACAAAATATGAACCTAATATAAAAAGCTTGAAAGAATTTTATTACAAGATTCAAGGTCATTCACCTAAGTCTTGCTCTACGTGATTTCATATTGTTAAAATCTTCTATAATTGAATTTGTACTAAAATTCAAAACAATTTTTTTTTAATATATGTAATTAAAGAATCATTAAGAATTGGTTAACATTTGGACAAACAGATTGTGAAAAAATAAAATAACCTATAAACCCAATCCTTAATTTCAATAAACACATCTATTAAGTAACACGAGAATTAGGAGAGCAGCTAAACACACCCATTGTGATTGTTTGCA